TTGAAGTACAATAATTGTACTATCAAAGAGTAGTTTTGAAAAGTTAATATTGTTAAAATGTAATAATTGCATTAAAAAAAAATAAATTCTCTAAAAGAGATTAATATTTTTGAACAGAGGGAATGAAAAACAAAAATAAAAAAAGTCGAAGAATTACACAAAAAAAAATTTCTTTCCTCTAAGCTTTTGGCATTTTTTTTAATAATAAAAAATCAAAAAATATGACAAACATATTAAATTTTTTCACTTTATATTTTAGTTAAAAAATTAAAAAATTACTAAAATTATTTATTCTCAAGCCAACATGTTATGACTTGGCCAGTGTGTATTTTCATTTTTGTCCCTTGTTAGTGGTTTTGTTTTTTTTTGTTTTTTTTGTTTTTTTTGAGAGGAATGCACATTTGTATTTTCAACCAAACTAATGTAGACTTCAGAGGTAATGTTCAAATTACTCAATTTAAAAATAAAGGTCAAAATAAATTTCAAATCAAATTTGAGGAATTAAAAATCCTTAGCAAATTTTGGGTCAATTATATTTTTCACTCTTATAGTTTAATTTAAATTTCACTTTAATTCTTATTGTTGCAATTTGAACAATTTGATTCCTACACTACAAGTCAAATTTCAATTTGGTCATTTTGTCAAAATTTTTATTAATTTTGTCTATATGTACATCTTATAAAATTTACAAGTGTCCCAAAATTACTATTTAACCTCCAATTTGAACCCAAAAAAAAAAAATCAAATTAAAAATACACTGAAAGTGTAGGAATCAAATTAAAACAAGAGTAATGTTAAGAATAATGAAAAAAATATCATAAAATGTTTTATGAAGATTCTGTATCCTTATGTTGTGTTTAGTTGGGGGATTTAGGAAGGAATTTTCATAATTTTTTTTCAAATTTTTTTTAAGAAATTAAAAATTAATTTGGTAAAAAAAAATAAATTTAAACACATTATTTTTATATAATTTTATCTTTTGAATGGGTAGAAATAATTTTTTAAAATAATTTTTTTTTGATATTCATTAGTTTTTCTTTTTTCAAAAGTTAAATATGACGACAATTTTAATATCATTATTAAACAAATCCATTAAATCAAAAAATATATAATTAAAAGTATTTCATACAGTAAACATATCGATTACACATTAAAAATCTAAAAACCATCAATTACATGATAACCATAACAAAAATATCTGTTAACAACAAAAACAACCATCTATTACGTGATAATCATCCAAAAACATTAACAAAAATAGCCACTCATAACATGATTATCATCCAAACACATACTAAAAATTAACTTGGTAAAAATATAAAAAATAAAAATGTAGAAGATTTATTATTTTATATAATTTTATTTTTGGGTGATAGAAATAATTTTTAAAAATTAAAAAATAACCTTATTTTTGTCAAACTAGTTTATATTTTATTAAATTAACAACTTTGTCTTTGAAATGGAGCATTTTCCGTTTAGAAATGAAACATTGTGTTTAATTGTCTTTATTTGGAATGAGATTCAAAATTTAAGGTCAAATAGATCACAACTGAAATATCAGAGATCAAAATGACACACCATAAATTACTGGGATCGTTAGTATGACTAAAATAACATGAATTTTTTTATTTTGTTCTTCTTCTAAATTCATTAGTAATATTTTTGAAGTACAATAATTATACTATCAAAGAGTAGTTTTGAAAAGTTAATACTGTTAAAATGTAATAATTGCATAAAAAAAAAATAGATTCTCTAAAAGAGATTAATATTTTTGAGCAGAGGGAATGAAAAACAAAAATAAAAAAAGTCGAAGAATTACACAAAAAAAAAAAAAAAAAATCTAAGCTTTTGGCATTTTTTTTAATAATAAAAAATCAAAAAATATGACAAACATATTAAATTTTTTCACTTTATATTTTAGTTAAAAAATTAAAAAATTACTAAAATTATTTATTCTCAAGCCAACATGTTATGACTTGGCCAGTGTGTATTTTCATTTTTGTCCCTTGTTAGTGGTTTTGTTTTTTTTTGTTTTTTTTGTTTTTTTTGAGAGGAATGCACATTTGTATTTTCAACCAAACTAATGTAGACTTCAGAGGTAATGTTCAAATTACTCAATTTAAAAATAAAGGTCAAAATAAATTTCAAATCAAATTTGAGGAATTAAAAATTCTTAGCAAATTTTGGGTTAATTATATTTTTCACTCTTATAGTTTAATTTAAATTTCACTTTAATTCTTATTGTTGCAATTTGAACAATTTGATTCCTACACTACAAGTCAAATTTCAATTTGGTCATTTTGTCAAAATTTTTATTAATTTTGTCTATATGTACATCTTATAAAATTTACAAGTGTCCCAAAATTACTATTTAACCTCCAATTTGAACCCAAAAAAAAAAAATCAAATTAAAAATACACTGAAAGTGTAGGAATCAAATTAAAACAAGAGTAATGTTAGGAATAATGAAAAAAATATCATAAAATGTTTCATGAAGATTCTGTATCCTTATGTTGTGTTTAGTTAGCGGATTTATGAAGGAATTTAGAAATCAAAATAGAAAAAGTGTGTGAAATTAGATAAAATATAGATATATTTTATTTTTATTTCACCTATATTTTCTTTTTCTCTTTTTAAATTTTTTTCCAAATTTCATAATCAAACACAACATTAAATTACCTTTATAAAATATTTAATGATATTTTTTTATAATCCATAACATTACTCAGCCTCCGTTTGGGAAGTGGGTTGGCTTTTTGGCTTTTTGGCTTTTTTGGCTATTTTAGCCTGAAAAAAAAAAAAAAATCAAATTAAAAATACACTGAAAGTGTAGGAATCAAATTAAAACAAGAGTAATGTTAGGAATAATGAAAAAAATATCATAAAATGTTTCATGAAGATTTTGTATCCTTATGTTGTGCTTAGTTGGGGGATTTAGGAAGGAATTTAGAAATCAAAATGGAAAAAGTGTGTGAAATTAGGTAAAATATAGATATATTTTATTTTTATTTCACCTATATTTTCTTTTTCTCTTTTTAAATTTTTTTCCAAATTTCGTGATCAAACACAACATTAAATTACCTTTATAAAATATTTAATGATATTTTTTTATAATCCATAATATTACTCAATTGGAATATTGCTAAACCAGCGGTAAAATTCCCAAAGTAGTGGTCACCACCGGGAGCAAGGATCCTCTAGAGTTTTTTTTTCTTAAAGTTTCTTAGAGTGGTGCATTATGTGATTGAGATTTAATGATAAATCACATCAATTTTTTAACATTAAATCTCAACCACATAATATACCAGTTTAAGAAATTTAAAAAAAAAAATATTTTAGAGGATCCTGGGTGCACCAGGGGCATAGAAAATCACATCGTGTGAACAGGTCTACCTCTACCTAACTCACAAGTGTATTTAAATATGAGTAAAAAAATTTAAAGTAAAATATTTTTAAATTTATATATTTATAGATAAATTACAATCACCTCCTTAAAATTCACAACTACACTGGCCTCCCTTCTTTTTTTTTTTGAAATTACACCGATTTCCCTGCGACTAACAGCATTAATGAGAGGGTTAGTTTAATAATTTTAATATTAGAGATATTTTTGTTGATAACCATTAAATATGTAATTATTATTTATTTGTATGATATATGGTTATGATTCATTTTTTTATTTATTTATAGGAATGATTGAAAAAATCTATTTATAACATTTGTAGTAATCAACACAACAAATATTATAACTTATATACAGTACACATAAAATGGTGTATATTTTAGAATAAACTATTGTTATGACAAAAGTGATGATGAAATAAATTAAAAACTTATAACTACATAAATGTAAGATAAGTTTTTTAGTAGTTTTTAATCTATACTTGACATTATAGTTCAGTTGTTTTCTAAAAAATAAAATAAAATTGATGAGTTTCACTATCTAAACTAATCCAAAATAAATTGGGACACTAAATGTATTTATTTAAATAGGATTAAATAATATTTCTAAATAGTCACATGGTTTGACTATAAAAATACATATATATTATTGCTTTACATATATACATGTTCATGCATTTCTCATTTGATTTCAATAATTTATACTATTTGTTTTCCTAAAAAATAATTAATTGATTTCTTTTATTATTAATTTACAGATAATCACTTCAAATGTTATACAAACTAAACTGAAATCTCCCTATGTACTAATTTAACAATTAACAATTAACATTCATTAAAAAAAAAAAAAAAAGAAAAAAGAAAAAAACAGTTAGTCAAACTAACGGTAAACTCGCAGATTGAGAAAACCTGCAAATTAAAAGTAAACCTCACAATGTAATTTCAAAATGAAGAGGAGAGCACAGTATAATTGTGGGGAATCTCAAGCATAGAAAAATGCAACTTGTACCTAATTATATATTTATATGGCTGACTTCTACCTCCCTCACCCTCAGATCATTGCATTCTTAAATATTATTAAGGTTGTTGTACAGTCTGTTTATAAAGACATTCCACTTGTTTCACACTCAAGGTCTTGTTCACATGCTCTGGCTGACAATAGTTTACATCTCTTTGTATATGTTGTCCCCTACTAATCTGGAGAAAATATTAAAGATTGACCTAGAACAGCTAGTCAACCAAGAAATTTATGCATATATATGTGTTTGATTAGGTCTCGATCCATGTCACAGCTAAACAATAGAAGAGACGGAAAGAGAGAGAAAAAGAAAGAATGTGCCGGGGAGAGGGAGAGGTGGAGAGTGGAGGAGGGAGAGTGGAACAGAAGCTCCAGGAGCTCCATGAAGCGATAGTTGAAGGGAATAATAAATTAGAAGCACTTCTTGAAGTGCTGGATTCGCGACGATGGTCTCCTCTTCACTTGGCATCTGCTCAAGGCCGTCTCGACATTGTACAAGCACTCGTATCGGAGAATCCGGATATGTGCACAGCTCTTGATGGAGATGCTAGAACCCCTCTACATCTTGCAGCCATGAAAGGTAACCTTGATGTCTTGAAAATGTTGTTTGAAGCCAGCCTCTATGGTCCCCATGAGTTGATGAATGTTAAGGATGTTGCTGGTAACACCATATTGCATCTAGCTGTCAGGAATAAAAAATTGCAGGTATGCCAACTATTAAGTTTGTTTTAGATTGGGTTCCAATGCATTTCTTTTTATTAATTTTTTACAAGTTACTTTTTAAAAAGAGTTTCACAGTTATTCCGAACGCTCCTTTAATTTTCCTTTAGCCATTATTGAAGTTAATGATTTGTAGTGCTAAATAGTATTTCTACCATAATCAAATTTTAAAGTTTCCGTAGTGCTAAATAGTAATGAGATTATTAGTAATAATTTTTTAGTGTTAATGTTACTTGGGTGTTTGCATTATAAAAAATTAAGGTTTTAGAAACCAAAATTTAGGGATAAAATTATTCTTTAAGAACTAAATATTTTTGTTATGAAAAGTATCGTTATTAATTGAACATTAGTGATGAAATATTATTTTTTTTGGACAAAATTTTTTGTTCAAAAAAATAAATAATTTTGAGAGCAAATTATTTTGTTCCTAAAAGTTTATTTATAATTGACATTTTTAAAATTTTCTCACCAAAAGTCATATTTTATACTTTTCATGACAATCTTTTTGGAACTATCCTCATGACTAAAGAAATTGGTCCTTAAATATTTTTTGCAACAAAATTTTCATTTTTAGAGAAAAAAAAATTTTATATTTAAAACTTTTATATGTTGTAGTGTTGGTTTAGTTATTCTTAATGGAAAAGCAATAAAATTGGAAATATTTTGAACCTAATAATTATTATTACTTTTTTTAATTTTTAAAATTTCAACATTCTTCCAAGAATGTGAGATTCTCATTGTAGAGTGAGGAAATTAGATTCTTACTAAATTTGGGAATGTGAATAGATAATCAGAAATCACTTTCTCATTTCACTATGTTCCAAACACAAGAATTATGTTAATTCAGAGTTACATTCTCAATCTCCCATAAAACTACTATCATTCAAACATGACTTAAAAGGATTTTTTTTTTTTTTTAAGTTGGGAGCCACGACTTCCTTGGCTCTAGTGTAGCTGATATAGGCTTTGTATGGAGCTCTGTTTTACATTCTTTCTTCTATATAATGAAACACTCATTTACCCAAAAGAGTAATTCTATATATATATATATGGGAAATTGCTAGCTAATTACTTCCAATCTAATGTTGACAATGGAATATAACTACTGCAGGTTGTGGACTATTTGCTTAAGAAAATAGAAAAAGCTGAAAAGACAGAAAACAGAATAAAAGCAGTAAATGCAATAAACAATTGTGGGTACACAGCATATGACATTGTAATGGACAGTAAAAATGAGCAGGAATTCAAAGACATTAAAGTCTCCTTTCGAAAAGTGAAAGCAATGCAAGCAAAAGATCTTTCTCAAGGTGACTGGCTGTCAAAAAAACGAGACATATTAATGGTCGTGGCATCACTTATCGCGACAATGGCTTTCCAAGCTGGGATAAATCCTCCAGGAGGTTTCTGGCCAGACAATGCAGCTCTACATAGAGCAGGGGAAGCTATAATGGCTTATAACTATCCAAATACATATCCGTATTTCATTCGTGCTAACACGACAGGATTCGTTGCATCTGTGAGTACAATCTTATTGCTCGTTACTGGATGGCCGTTCAAGAAAAAGTTTTTCATGTGGCTTCTGGTCGTGATCATGTGGGTGACAATTACATCAATTGCTTTTACTTATGCATTTTCAATCGTAGTTGTCTCTCCGAAAGGGGAAAGGGAACCACTTTTTCATACAATTGTAGTTGGAGCCATAGTGTGGTGCTGTGTGATGGCGAGCCTCCTCATAGCTCACGCAATTCGCGTCAATTGGTGGTTGAAGACCAACAAAGGAATAAATGTTTGGCCACAGATTAAAGATTTCTTCAAATCCAAAACAAGTAGACAAGGTACAAATTCAATTAATGGTGATGTTAATCAAATTTAGCTAAGTGGACAAGGCCTACAACAATCAAGTAATGGTGAAGTTCTTCAAATTCAACTCAAGTAGACAAGGCATGCAACAATAAAGAGGAGATATAAATTCATTTAATGGTAACCATTCTACCGTTTGGGCTTTATGTTTAATGTGTGAGTTTCTATTTTTACAAAGAGAAATGTTTGAGAGCGCTAGGGAGAGAGCTCTAATAGCTCTAATTTGTGTGTGGATCCTATTTGATGTGATGCATTGGCTTTGTTTTGTTTTGGTTTTTTTTTCTTTTTTTTTTTTTTTTTTTTTGATTTTTTACATCACTAGAGTTCAACTAGAGCTCTAGTTTTAGGGGAATGAATCACTGTTTTTTTTAGAAATTTACAATGTGGACCCTTTAAAATGGTGCACATCTGTAAAAAGTTGTGTTTTTTTATGATGAATGTTATAATTGTTTGTGATGTGTGTTATGACATTTTGTAGTAAAATTATGAATGAATAATGAATTTATGGTGTGCATCCAAAAATTAAGAATGATAATGTTGTGACACTTTGTAATTTTTGTTATGACACTATAGAGTTTTGTTATGATATTTTTCAATGACAACATTTTTTTAAAAAACATATCATTGTACCTATTTGAGAGTGCACATTATAACATCTCCCATAAATCACTATCAAATACAAAGAATTGAATATAGACCAAAGAAGGAAAGAAATAGAGCATAAGGCAATGAAAAAATTAACCGAAAAATTAATTATGTGAGTTTTTCTTTTTAAACATTAAATTATGCAACAAATATGAGGATAGTGTGAGATATTTTGGAATAACATGAAAGATGGGTGTTTTGGTAAGGGGCTTTTTTTTGTTTTGTTTTGTTTTATTTTGTTTTGTTTTTAGTGAACTTTTTTTTTTAATTTTTTCAAAAAGTTTTAAGTTTCTAAATTCAGCTTGATAAGGCGAACCGAAAAATTATAATTTTTTCAAAAAAAATTAAAAAATAATCTAGAAAAGATAAAAATAAGCCAAAATTAATAATTATTTTTGGCTTATTTTGGTCTTTAATGATTTTTTTGCAAATTTTCAAAAAAAAGAAAAAGAAGGAGAGTATTTTTTAGATTCGTCTCGACAAGACTTATCGAAAAAGTAAAAAAATTTGACATAATTTTTAAAAAAAAGCGCTAAGGACAAAAACAATTCAAAAAAAGAGGTGGCTTTTTTTTTTCCCTGCTAAAATGGTATTTAAAATAACATTAAACATGTCCATAAAATTATAGGAATTAGAACCACACATCACATTACACTTTTTATTTATTTATTTATTTTTATGGGAATCACATTACACTTTATACCCAAAAAAAGATGGATATAAAATATTCATCGATGACATAAATAAATAAAAAATCATTAAAATAAAACCAAATATAAAATAAATTTTTAAAAAAGTGTTCCATGAAAGCGTAATTCCATTGAGATACATCTTTCCCAGGTACCACTAAAGCAGCCTTAACTTTGGAGCCTTTCTAGCAATGTCTACTTCATGCTTTTTAAGTTTAGGGCAAATTACACATTTAGAGGCTGGTGATATTTTAGTTCCCAACTTTTAGAATATGTTAATCTAGTTTTTAATATTTAGATTGTATTAATTTAGTTTTTAATGTATATAAAGTATTTCAATTTAGTCAAATAACTAAATTGAAATACTTTTTATATATTAGACTAAAATTGAAACACTAATTTTTATTTAGAAACTAATTGAAATACCTTTTATACATTGGACTAAATGAAGCACTTTTTATATATTGAGAGATCAGATTGGCACAATTTAAACATTAATAGGGACCAAAATCGAAATATTTTAATACACACTACAACATACAAGAGTTTGGGGATCAAACTTTTTTGTTCCCAAAAGTGAAAATCTTGTTGTAAAAAATATTTGGGGACCAATTCTTACCGTGGTGAGGATAGTTGCTAAAAAATCGTTTCAAAAAGTGAAACAATGACTTTTAGCGACAAAATTTTAAAAATATTGCCAATAAATGTATTTTTAAAAATAAAATAATTTGGTGAAATAAAGTTTATTTGAAAAAAAAAATAGTCTAAAAAAGATAATAATTAATCACTAAATATCTAATTTCGTTCACGAAAAATTAAAAAAAGATATTTTCGACAACTAAAATATTTCGTCTCTAAAAAGTAATTGTCCATAAATTTTTATCTCTAAAATCTTAATTTGTTGTAGTGGCATTAAAAATTAAATTGACACACTTTAAAAATTAGAGATTAGAATAACGAGTTTTTAATTTAAAATCCCTGATATTAAATGACATGCAGTATTTTCATGTATTGTCTTGCCAGAAACCTCCTGGAGGATTTAGCCCAGCTTGGAAAGCCATTGTCGCAATAAGTGATGCCACGACCATTAATATGTCTCGTTTTTTTGACAGCAATGGATAATCTATTCTGTGGATATTTATAGAGATCCAACCCAAATACACGAGTTTTCCTCTCTTTTTCTTATCTATTGGGTAGGATAAATGATATTCTTTAAATATCCACAGGGGATGGGTTGGGGATCATTTAGAGGCTGGTGATATTTTAGTTCCCAACTTTTAGAATATGTTAATCTAGTTTTTAATATTTAGATTGTATTAATTTAGTTTTTAATGTATATAAAGTATTTCAATTTAGTCAAATAACTAAATTGAAATACTTTTTATATATTAGACTAAAATTGAAACACTAATTTTTATTTAGAAACTAATTGAAATACCTTTTATACATTGGACTAAATGAAGCACTTTTTATATATTGAGAGATCAGATTGGCACAATTTAAACATTAATAGGGACCAAAATCGAAATATTTTAATACACACTACAACATACAAGAGTTTGGGGATCAAACTTTTTTGTTCCCAAAAGTGAAAATTTTGTTGTAAAAAATATTTGGGGACCAATTCTTACCGTGGTGAGGATAGTTGCTAAAAAATCGTTTCAAAAAGTGAAACAATGACTTTTAGCGGCAAAATTTTAAAAATATTGCCAATAAATGTATTTTTAAAAATAAAATAATTTGGTGAAATAAAGTTTATTTGAAAAAAAAATAGTCTAAAAAAGATAATAATTAATCACTAAATATCTAATTTCGTTCACGAAAAATTAAAAAAAGATATTTTCGACAACTAAAATATTTCGTCTCTAAAAAGTAATTGTCCATAAATTTTTATCTCTAAAATCTTAATTTGTTGTAGTGGCATTAAAAATTAAATTGACACACTTTAAAAATTAGAGATTAGAATAACGAGTTTTTAATTTAAAATCCCTGATATTAAGCCTCCGTTTGGGAAGTGGGTTGGCTTTTTGGCTTTTTGGTTTTTTTGGCTATTTTAGCCTGGGCTTAAAAGCTTGGTTTGGGAAGGACTTTTTGGCTTTTGAGCTTTTTTGAGTTTTTTTGTGAGAGAAGAATGTAATGATTATGGGTTGGATGTGATGTTTTGTTTGTTATGGCTAAAATAACCTATTTTATCTTTTGTGGCTAAAATAGCCAAAAAAGCCCAAGAATCAACTTGCCAAACAGAGGCTAAATGACATGCAGTATTTTCATGTATTGTCTTGCCAGAAACCTCCTGGAGGATTTAGCCCAGCTTGGAAAGCCATTGTCGCAATAAGTGATGCCACGACCATTAATATGTCTCGTTTTTTTTGACAATTAGGAATGGCAATGGATAATCTATTCTGTGGATATTTATAGAGATCTAACCCAAATGCACGAGTTTTCTCCTCTTTTTCTTATCTATTGGGTAGGATAAATGATATTCTTTAAATATCCACAGGGGATGGGTTGGGGATGGGTACCCACTAATTTCCCCATATGTTTTTTTTTTTTTTTTTTTTTTTTTTTTTTTTTAGATTCACAACCAAAACTAAATATGCATTCAATTTTTTTTCTTTTATTTATATTATTATTTTTTCAGGTTCACAACCATTTTTTTTTTTAAAGATCCACAACCAAAGCTAAATATACCTCCAATCTTTTTTTATTTTTATTTTTAAGGTTCACAATCATTTTTTTTTTTAATTTTTAAGATTCATAACCAAAGCTAAATATACATTCAATCTTTTTTCTTTTGTTTTTTTTTTAATTTTTTTTAAGGTTCACAACCAATTTTTTATTTTTATTTTTTTTTTAAGATTCACAACCAAAGCTAAATATACATTCAATCTTATTTTATTTTATTTGGCTCAACAATAAAATCAAATACACATTAATTAACATTGTCACATTATTCTTGTCAAATTTTATGCATATCTAGAATTTTTTAAATTTATAAATAATGGGCAAGGTTGGGTTAATCAATGAACACATTTCTGAAAAGTTTTGCGTAAAGTAAAGTAAAAGAGGGGGGGAATGAATGGCTGTTGGGAATTTTATTTTTGAGTGGACAGGGTATTTTCTAAAATTGTTAAGCTTATACTAAGTTTTTTTTAGCCTACCCTTGCAGGCTATGCAAGGGAATATACCCTGACTGTGTTCATGGTCCACATAACCCAATTATGTGGCCCCTAAATAGGTTATGATGCATATGGTTTCATGGTTTGTGATATAACAGGTTGTGATATAATAGTAGGCTACAAACTTTGTTTGTGATACATTGATAACTTCTTGTGTAAGTGTAGTTTTTTGTGTAAGTTTTTGTTGTCAAACTTTGTTTGTTATACATTGATAGCTTGCTATATTTGTGTTTAAGACAAATGTTTATGACTTATTCACCCCCCCAAAAAAAAAAGATAGAAATATTTTCAAACCCTTAGAAACACAAACACAAAATATTGGTCTGATTGGCCAAGCGAGAGAGAGAGAGAGAGATGGTTGTAATTTTTTTTTTAATCTTCCAACGTTCTTCCACTTTTTTTTTCAATTACTAAAACTTATTTGATTGTCTCAAAATTATATATTTGATTATTATAAAACAAACTTTTTAATTAATTAATTAATGTGTATTTGATTTTGTTGTTGAACCAAATAAAATAAAATAATATTGAATGTATATTTAGCTTTTGTTGTGAACCTTAAAAGAATAAAAAAAAATAAATAAATAAGTTGTTAACATTAAATATATTAAAAAAGAAAGAAAAAAAATTGAAGGTATATTTAGCTAAAACCTTTATAAAAAAAAAAAGAAAAAAAAGAAGGTTGTTAACATTAAATATATTAAAAAAGAAAGAAAAAAGATTGAAGGTATATTTAACTTTTGTTGTGAACCTTAAAAAAAATAAAAAATAAAAAAAAAATTGTCAACATTAAATATATTAAAAAAGAAAGAAAAAAGATTGAAGGTATATTTAGTTTTTGTTGTGAACCTTAAAAAAAAAAAAAAGTTGTTAACATTAAATATAAAAAATAAAAATGAGGATTAAAGTGGGTTTGGGAAAATTCATACTCATTAAAA